ATATTTGACTAATAACTAAAAGCAAGCACGGTTACAGAAGCAAATGGCATTAGTCAGAATCAAAGAGAACACATTTTTCTAATCTAAAACAGTTTCTGTTCCACACAAAACAAAGTACATTCTCCTACTATCAATTCCTGTCTTTCACTAGAGGCAGAGCCAGTTCTAGCCGAGTCCAGCTGACTCCACACCCATCCTTGTTCCACTGAGTTGAATGCCTTCCCTTGGCTCTGCAAGGGCTGCTTCTGCTTAAGCAGCTAACATGTCTGTCCCTTGACGCCACTGAAACTTTATCCCTACCTATTCTCCTGGTCAGGAATTCTTACTGGGGCCTGCTAGGATTAGGCAGCATGCCAGGCAGGTCCCCACCTCCAAGTGCCTGGTGAGCTCGAGCCAGTTTACCTGGTGGGAGCGAGTGAGGGACATCTTCATCCTAAGCTTCCGATGCCTCTGCTGATTCTGTGGCCACCAAGAGTCAGCTGGAGTATGCTTTCGGGACACCTTTACTTCTCTAGAGAGGGCCGCGGGACTACACAGAGCCCTGATTTTGCAGACTGTCCTTCAAGAAAGCACAGTTCACCGGTCCCCAGACTGGCAACACGGATGGAACCCCACTAGGACATCCGGTTCACTTTGGTTCATCTGTTCAGCACAGCTGCAAGACTGGGTGTTACTCGAAACATCAGCACAGAGTGCCTGTTTACCCTCTCATTTGGCAGTTGAAGTGAGTCTAGTGGATGGCACACCCAGGTAAGTCTGCAGCCACCCCAGCTTGGGAGAATCTGTTACGTCCGATTACCAGACGCATAAACGGGAGCAGCCTTCTCCCAGCCCCACGTTCCCCAGAAACAGACCTCTCCACCTCTCTCTCACAATTCCCCATGGGAGTGACTTACCAGGTGATAACACTGGGGAGAGACTGCTGTCCACTGGGCCATTTAAGGCAGAGCTCCTGTCTTGCACTGGGGGTCTGTCCCAAATGCTCCCACTCTCACAGATCACTTGCCTCAGGTGTGGTGGCTTCACATCCTGAAACTGGGTGGGTAAGTCAAGCAGGCCCTTTACCTGGCCGGCTTCGGTTCACAACAGAAAGGAGTGTGCCTAAACTCTTGACAAGGCCAAGTCACTTTTTTAAAAAAATCCTTGGTGCTGCCATTTGGTTCCTGCACATAGATGGCAACCTGATTGGAAATCTGACCAGAAAGCCTCCTTCAGCCTTGGGTCCCCTCCACTGAGGCTCAGGCACTGACATTTGTTTAAAAGTTTCATTGATTAAAAGTTCTGCTGAAACCACAGAAAGCCAGACTTGAGTTAAAAGCACAAATGAAAATTCTGGTTCTGTCACCTAGCTATGCAACCTCAGGCAAGTCACTGAGCCACTGTGAATTTTGATTGCTTATGTAAAATGTAGAGAAGGGCTGCTTCACAGGACTTTTTTTTTTTTTTGTGGATGAGAGACATTCCAGTCCACAAATAGAGTGCAGAAATGCCCCAAACTGCCTGACATATTCGTAGCAAGCTCTCAGTATACACTGAATGAACAAAGTCAACACAAGGGATGATGATGTGCATGGCTATTACGGAAATAGTAAGGGAGACCAGCCTATAGTATAAAGCTCAGATGAAGGGCTGTCTCTCTAGGTTTTTCTGCCTATCTCTTCTGCAAAGCTCTGATGCTGGGGCTACATTCTGCCTGTTATTGCTGTGGGACTCCCTCTCTCCCTAAACCATTGCTCCAGCAGGTAACGGAGCAAAATGCCAGCCCTTGCCAGCATCAGTAAAGCATGAATGTGTGACTGGCTTCTTGTGTTCAAGCTGTGACTCCAAGTGTCGCCAAGATCTTAGCCTCCCACCGAGTAGAACTCGCATTCCATCCTGTTACGCGTAAGTGGGCTGGGCACACCAAGACATCAAAAAAATACCCAGGGCCAAGTAATTGTGCATTGCCACAGAGCTCTCCTTTTTGTTTTTCTGGAAGGGCCTAAGCCGACAGCTGAGCCATATACCCACAGCTAGGACATCCAAGCCAAGGAACCGGGTGTGCCTAAGCAATTAACATTTAGCTAAGAGGGAAGCATACAGCAGGAGCTGGTGGTTGGAGCTTTGACGACCAGATCTGACCCTTCATCATGCCAGTGTTCTAGCAGCAACAGAGGAATGCCAGTGGAATGCATAAATCTGAATAAATCACTACTAATGGAAACTCTGCACACGTCACCCAGAAACAAGGGAAGGCCAGTGGTAACAGTACTGAGGACGGCTACCATTTACTGGGCACTGTGTGCTAGATATGCCTCATCTAGAGGATCTCCCTAGGAATTTGGTGGCATTACTCCTATTTACCAAGGAGAGAAGTGAGGCCCAGAGAGGTTACCCTAACCTTGCCCGAGTGACACAGCCTGCCAGGGAGGAGAAGCAGAAGCAGTGGGGAAAGTCCTAGGCAAATGAAGCTTCTCTCTTGGGTGAGAAGGGGAAGAACTCAGGGGTTAAAGAGTAAAAGAAATGAGGACACAAAGGACTAGCCCACATCACCCCTAGTTAGGGGTTCCTGACTCCCATGACAGAATGCTCCTGAAAAAAGCTGAAGCCCCCAGTCTAGGTTTGGGAAGCCGCTCTCTCCTCCTGGGTCCTGGGACCCTAAGAAGGTACATATAAACGGGTAGCCAGCCACCTTTTTGGGTCTAGTCACATCAGCCTCCCTGCTTTTTACAGATGGAAAAATGGATGCTTTGACTTTATGCCCCCTTTCTCCCCACCAAGGCAGTGACACAGCTGGATAATCCTCCCCAAGAGAGCTGGCAACAGGATTCCTATTAGCTTTCTCCCTTATGTGATTGGAGAGTTGTAAGAATACTACCACTTGGGACAACGTAAGCAAGCTTAAAGAAACCCACCCTAAACTTTGTTCTTATCTTTTGCTACTAATTATAAAATCCCAGCTATTAAGGCAGGAGCACTACACTTTTTGGCTTAAAGCAGAGTTTCCTTCCATTCCTGTTTATTCTGTTCTTTGGGTTTGAAGCACAAGGTCTAAACTAGATGTTTTCCAAGGCTGCTTCCTCTGCTGGGCAGACCACACCCTGCCTGCTCGCAATGATTTCTACAGAAGCTCTGTTTCAGTTCTAGCTCAGTTCTACGCTAATGGGCACAATGGAATATGACGAAGTGATCACCAGTGATTCTCAATCTCTCCTGAAACAACACAAAAAGCAGCAATCTCAGTCTGAAGTCTCAGCCTTCTCAACACAATCTAGCTGTGACAGATGGGGAGAGCTGGAAGCGCAAGATTCAGTGGAGGAAAAACAAGATCTTGTTCTGGCGGGTTTACTAACTTTCATGTTAATGTATGTTTTTAAACCCTGCAACCCTTCGTCAACTTCTTCCAATTTCAACAGAGGCCACGAGTTACAGTAATGGCCTCTTAAAAAGTCAAGCCGCATAAAGATGGTGACTTTGATTCCCTGGTCTGTCTCCTGAAATGATGTGAGGCTGCTTTGGGTACGTGCTATCATAATGACAACACGACTGCAGGAACAACGAAGCAGAGAAGCAGAAGGTGCCTACACAGTTTTACCTAAATGTCTTGTTAGGACGGAGCTGATGCGCCCATACCAACAGTCAGGAACAATCAGCATAGAGTAGTTCCAAAAGGAGGAAGAATTCACAAGGCATCAGTTATGGGTGAAGGGAAGTCACCATCTGCCAACGGGCACCAGAGTGTCACTGCAGTGGAAGGGGACAAGGAGTGTGGTTGGATGAGATCCAGGGGCCTCTCTGCCCACGTTAAAACTGAGTAGCTTCTCTGCCTGCCGCACGGCAGTGTCAACACGTTCTACGTGTGTCTCACTCAGTCTCACACCCGAGTAAGAGAAACAATCGACACGGGAACCAAGGGGGAGAAAGAGCTGTACGGGCTCATCCTCCTGAAGCAGGGGAGCCTGCGGGTTTTTAGTAAAGCTCAAGCCTACCTTCGTCCTTGAGGTCTCCACAACTTCTCTCCCTGCCTCCTTCACAATCCAGGGGATGAGCCTGTGTCCCTTTATGAGACACCAAGGTAGAACAGGACCTCTAGTTCTGGGTTGCATGGCCTTGGAGCTGCTCTGTTTGGGAAGGGAAAAGAGCAGTAGTGGCAGCAGATAAAAAAGGAGAAAAACACGAGAGCAGCACCTTTAGGCTAGAAATAGCTTCCACCATTAAAAGCCACAACTATACTACGCATCAAACACAGAAGGGCCTCCACAGAGTACAGTCGGAACATGCAGGTATGTCCCACTGGTTTCCCATATTATGATTCCAGGAGCTGCCAGAAGGCAGTCATCTCATTAACACACCTACCAGCAGTTCTGATTTCTGGTCATGATTAAATAAGGCCTCCGTTTGAGGTTTAGAATCTTAAACTAAATCTTTTATTTCAAAACAAAAACAAAATAATTTGCCAGTCTGAGAAAAGGTCCGAGGAGAAGATGGAAGCTTTCTTGTTGTCAGTCCTCTCCTACACAAATGGGACTGGATGGAGGGGAGAAAGAATGGCCAAGGGTGAGGAAAAACTTCACAATGAACGCTGAGTGTTAAGTGACACCCCCTGCAGATATAATTTATAATCTTTACTTAAGTCACACAACATCAAGGACTGGTTAGTTCCAGGGAAGGGCTCCATTTCGTCACCTGGGTCAGTTCCCTTCCCCCACATGCTCCACAATGCAGTAGGACCAAACAATGTGTCTATCTACGAGAAATGTTTAAATAATACCTGTCTAATAACTGCCCTTGCTTCTTTGTGCTGTTGGGAGAGGAAAAAAAAGACACTACCAGAAAGCAATAAAACCCAAACCCCTCTGCAAGCCAGCTGGTGCCTGACGCCCTAAGGGCATTGTTAGTGGCATTTCTGCAGGGCCTTGCCCCACATTCCGTCACATCAGTGAGGAAGGAGGCAGAGGGACAGGTATGGCCGTCTGCACTGCAGTGGGAAGAGAAACCAAACACAATTCGGGCCACAAGTAGATTCTGGCACGTTTTTAGATTAGGTTAAAAGTGTCACGGTGTACACAGGAAGCAGGCAAAGGAGTTTTTTGAGAGATGTGATGCCTGGAGGCAGAATGAACGGTCCGATCTACCCTTGGGGAGCAGCTCCCTCTGGGAAGGACAGAGGAGCTAGGGGGCTTCGAGGAAGGTGTTGGTTCGGAAGATGGAGGAGACGATCTTCCCGGTGGCGTTGATGGTGCCTTCACTGTCTGAGCTGGATTCAGAGTCGCTGCTCCCAGAGTAGGCGCCCAAGCCTGGGAGGATGCCAATGCAGACTGCAGCTGAGGGGCAGTGGATGGAGGGGCCGCTCAGGGAAGTGTTCCCAAGAGACTTGCAGGACGAGGCCTCTGCAAAAAAAGGAGGAAGGACTGTTACTTCATCACCCTTTTCCAAAGTTGAGGTTGTACTTACCATGTTCCAGGCATGGTACCCACAGGTTTTACCCACAGAAACCCATGGATGCCTCAAAACCACCCATGCAGCCACTGCTGTTGTTACCCTCATTTTACAGATGGGGAAAAGAAGGAAGTGAGGCTCCACGAGCTGAAATGACTTTTCAAGGTAAAAGGACAAAGCTGGGACTTGAACTTTTTATTTATTTTTGGCTTCTGTCATCTATTCTAAAATGACTAAATTTCAACATATCCCTCAAAACATATATTTTAACATATACCTCAAAACCACTTGCATATTTCAAAAATAACACAAAAGAAATGTCTTGGGTATTGTTAAGACATGGACCATAAAATCACAGAATTTAAACCCTTCATTTTAAATACAGCAAATTCTTGAGTCTCCAAGAGGGAGGGAAAGTATCCGAGTTCTTTTTAACCCCAGAGCCTGACTATACTCACTTTTTCCCATCAGTTCCCCACACACTCTTGGAGTGCAGCTAACCGTGGTGTGATTTCCCTGGACTCAGCACAGTCACGGCATTACAGCAAGTCGGAGTCACATCCAGTACCATTCCTAACCCCCGGGCAAGAAAAGGAAAAGGGGCCAAAAAACAACTCCAAAAGCCCCCAAAAACAAGGAAGAAAAAAAGGTAAAAAAAAACGGGAACAATACTATTAATAACAATTCTATTCAATTCTCAGCACATTACACCACTGCATACTTATTGACCGACATGTCAGCTTGCACAGATACATTTTAAAGGCCAAACACCAGCTGCAGAATAACAGCTTTATCAAGCTGTTTGTCTTCTTTATCGAGAAAGGCTGCTTTTCCCTGATGGGGGAGTTAAGCAATTTAGAAACTGATTTAATATGACCTTTGCTCTCCAGTTGTGCTCCTCTGTTACAACTGAGAAAACTGAAGTCTGTCAGGGAACATTTTAAGACCATGCAGAATGTCATCTAGGAGCTGGGACTCTTTTCTTCCCAGGAAATGCAGTTACTCTGCCACCCCAATGATGGAAGGTCTCAATCTAAAAACTGCAGGACTTGAAGGTTAAAGGAAAAGTTAAGAACTCTCTTCTTTCCTCTGAATGTTGCTGGCTTCATTTTATCTCTACGACAACTTGATATGTAGGTTATTACCCCCATTTTACTGATAAGCAAAGTCAAATGACTTGGCAAGGTTATAGGTCACTTACAAGTAGAAAATGTTAAACTAAACCTGAATCAAAAGCCAATGTACTAAAATGATACCTGAGCTCACGGTGGAGTAAGGGTTGGAGTTCATATTTCATTGCCTCAGGCTGACAAGCATACTACCTCCTAGGGTTTTGCCTTAGACACACTAACACCTCACTTATCCAGACAACTCAACTACATGGGAAAACACATGGTTCCAAGTATGTGAAACCAGGAGTCAGCAAAAAGCACCACTGAGAAGCTAAAAGAGATATCAAACGGCCAGTACACAAAGTTGAGGAGGATCTGTGTATCTGCTCATCTTTACAAGCAGCTGTGGTATGGGAAAAGCAAGTTGCTAAAGATAAGCAATGTTAAAATATGAAGATACAGAAAAGTAAAAGGAGGCTGACCATGATTGCAGAGATAGTAATAACAAGGCCACAAGAAGGCAGAGCCAAATATTTGCAACAAATATCACAAAAGCTAATTTCTTCAAGACATAAAGCGTTCTTACAAATCTGTTATAAAACAACCAACTGAACAAAAAGTGGACAGAGACGTGAACAGTTCACAGAAAAAAGAACAGATGAATTTTAAACATAGGAAGATAAATAATGTATTAGGAGGGAACATGTGGGAAACAGCCAACTTCATATGTTGCTGAAGGGATACAGGGAAATTTGGCAATGCTCTTCAAATTTAAATGATATTCATAAGAGAACATTCGCTGCAGCATTATTTACAGTAATAAAAACTGGAGACAACCAGAATGTCCATTAATAGATGACTGGTTAAGTAATGGACTACTATTCAGTCATTAAGAAGAAAAAGCATCTCTGCATGTACCGATACTGAATGAGCTCTAAGATACTGTACTAAATGAAAAAGGCCGGCAGCAGAACAGTATGTAAAAATTATAATTTGGGGGTGGAGGGACATGCCCACGTATACACATGATGGTATCTGAAAAAATACATAAAAACTGGTAGCAATGGCTGATCTGAGAAAAGAAATTGGGTGGCTGAGGAACAGGGAAGACTTACTTTTCACTCCACATTCTTTTGTCCCTTTTGAATTTTTTATTATTATATATGCATATGTTACTGATTAAGACAATTTTTTTTTAAAAGGTGAATGCAAAAATTCAAAGAGCATCCTGGACCACTGAAATTAGGGAGGAATAGTTCTACGTATCTCTGTTATTCCAAAGGCATCCCTGTATTTCAGCTAAGAAGGCTCTAGAAGAGTAGGCAGGGGTTGCTAGTCTGTACTCTCCACTAACTGTAACTTGAAGGCATGGGCTCTTTCTTCGCTGCTCCACCTCCAAGACATAAAGCAGAGGGGGCCTGGCACAGAGCAGGCCAGCGTTGACAATGCGTAAGAATGCAGGAAAATGTGTTAAAGACACGGTACAGAGTTACATTGCAAATGGCTAATGGGGGGGAAGGGTATTAAAATTTGATGCTCTTTTAAAATTGGGGACATAACATCAAGCCATATCATTCATTACTTAAACATACAGTGTATTATTATGTGTAACATACAGAATGATACTTTCAGTATTGTTGGGAAAATGTGGTTGTTTAACTGTTTTATTAAGTACACACACCCTCGCTTAAGGATGGAGATACGACCTGAGAAATGCATCATTAGGCGACTTTGTCATTGTGCAAACATCATGTACTTATACAACCTAGATGGTACAGCCTATTGTTCCTGGGCTACAAACCTGTACTGCATGTTACTGTACTGAATACTGTAGGCAACTGTAACACATTGGTTAAGTATTTGTGTATCTAAACACAGAAAAGGTACAGTAAAAATACAGTTTTATAATCTTATGGGACTACCATCTATATGCTGCCTTCATTGACTGAAATGTCATTACGTGGCACATGACTGTATTTCACGGGTGAACTGAATTTAAGGGTCTATTTTAGATAGAAAAGGATCAACTTCAGAGTACCTATGGAAGTCAAGAACTGGCCTAATGGAAGGATGAAAGCCAGCTACAGAAATGCAACCAAGGAATCTGGACCACTGTGGCATCAGAAGAGTTTAAGTGAAAAGACCGAATCTCCCCATTATCTAGGCGGTTTCAAGGAAAAAAAAGAGACTGCAACTCTGACAAATTTCATTCCAAAAGCAGTTAACTGTTCAAAGAGAACAAAATGGTGCCCTCTGATCTCACCCATTTGGTGAAGTTTCCTGCCAACTTCTGCATTTGCAGGGCCACATTGTCATACCAAATTAACAAAGAAAATTACTATTAGGGAATGTTCTTGGGATTCAGACAGATGCGTGACTCGGGAGTAGATGGGGCCGACTTGTGCATTCACTGGCTCTGCTCAGAGCTTAAGTTCAGAGTCTTCAGTGGGGAAAGCCTGAATCTCCATCAGGGTCACAGGGTTATCTTCTGCAGACCAAGGAGCAAATTCTCCTACTGCC